GAGATTTGAACTGCTGAACTGCAGCTAGCAGTCAGCTGAAGTAGCCTGCAGTACTGCACTCTAACCACTGCGCCACCTTGGCTCTGATGTCCAATACCTTCTCAAAATAGACCCTTGTATGCAGTAATTTCTTAATAATACTATACTACAGTTCTAATGTTGCAAAATAATTGGAGACCCAAGCTGCCTCCCCCAAGAAGCACCTGAAGACTACGGACTACTTCACTTCTCCATCTCTGAAGCACAGCAGATGACAAAAAGTTCATCTAAATCTTACTAACTAGAATCTAGACAATATAAACCAAATTTCCCCCTTCCCAAAGACCATACTTACCTTTGGAAGCAATAGCGAGTTGGTGAGGTACATTGCAATGTATGTCTGAGATAGGTTGACAATGAGACGGGTGAACATGTACAGCATCGCCACCTGGAGGCAAGAAAATGGTATTACATAGGCACATTAGTTTATTGTCATTGCGCAACGTACAACGAAATTAATGTATACATCTTCAGTGTACATTATAACTATAAAAATAAAAGCACAAACACACACCCTTCACAGGCTATATAATTGGAATTGGAAACCTCTGATATTGCATTAATATTGCACTATGCCATAGAATTTAATATAGTTACTGCTCTGGGATAGAAGATGTTTTTCAGCCTATTTGTACTCGTTTTTATTATCCTGTACCGTTTGCCAGATGGTAATAGTTCAAAAAAAAAAGGTGTCCAGGATGAGATGGATCTATTTTGAATTTTCTTAACACATTGGGAGCTATAAAGCTCTTCCAAGGAGGGGAGAGGGCAACCAATGATCCTCTGGGCAATAACATTAACTCTCTGGAGTGCTGTGCTATCTGCCACTGTGTAATTGGCAAACCATACACAGGCACAGTAAGTTAAAATACTCTCTATGGTGTAGCAGTAGAAGGTCACCAGCAGTTTTTCATTCAGTTGTTGTTTCCTGAGAAGTCTCAGGTAGACATACCTAAGTGCATTGATGGTGCTACCTAATTTGGGTAATGATATGTCTGCAAAAAATCAACCAACCTCAGAGAGCTCCAAGGACCTCTGACTTAGTATCATAGAATCACAGTCAAGTTTGAGAAACACTGCTGGCTGGGGAATTCTGGGAGTTGAAGTCCACACATCTCAAAGTTGCCAAGGTTGAGAAACCTTGTTCTAGAATATGTGTAGTTCAGAGGCCATGTTCTGCCTCGGACGTTGTAGGCTTGCCTGGGGCATGCAGTTAACTCCACGCTTAGGAATCTCTTTCAGATCAAGTTTATTATCAGGCATTCTTAATAACAAAACTTATAGTTCAGTGTTAAAATACTTCGGACTTTCCATAATCTGTCCCAACACGTGGTGTAAAAAGATGATGATTTTACTCCCATGCTGAGTGGAGATACACACTACTATTCTGGTTCACAAAGGCATTCAAACTGACTGGCTATAAACTTTGTACGTGGGCAAATGTCCCAGTGGCCAATCAGAAACATAGATGTGATCACATGTTATAGAACTACATTTCCTATAAGGCAGTCTCTGCCTACATTTCCCATGAGGTAGTTTCTTAAAGGAGACAGTTCTTAATTCCTACACTAGCTATATACTGCTGGGGCAGCACAGGCCATGATAAAGAATTGCTTTTAAAAGGTGATGGGCTGCTTCTGAGTATGATGGAGAACTTTTACTCATTTGCTTGGCTTTAATCGACTTGGAAAAGAAAAGGGATAATGGTAGAAATTTGGACTAGCCGAGACAGAGAGATAAAGACAACGCAACAATTTCTCTGCTCGCATGGTTTCCTTTTGGGGTTTAGAATTACATCTAATGTATAATTACATTATAATTATATCTAATGTATAAAGCCAACCAATTAAGGAAGATGACATTCTGAGGGATTCCAGAAATGCTGATCTTTGACATGGCATTTATTTACATTTTGTCAAAAACACCAAGCCCATCTTCTCCAATGTATGCCTGCCATCATCCCTCTACAGGAGGGGTCTCCACACTT